AAATGAATAAACGAAAAAATAAATCATGTTAAATTATTTCACGTAAAAAATTTTGTAAATTTTGATTGTGTATTTATATTGGAATGCATTATTATATATGTATTAGCATATTAAAAGCAATATGCTATAAGCATTTAGTTTTAAATTTAAACGATTTTACTTCTTCTTTACAGCTTTACGTACTTCAGGAAGTCAAGTGTTCCCACTCATAACTTTTATGGTTTTTTGAGTGGCTGTTATACTTTAAATACTGTTTTCGGAAGACCAAATGCAAAGCCAAGTGTAGTGACTTCAAGCGGAAGTAAGTTATAAATTTTTATTCCCTCGTATCGTGAAACTTTGCTTACCAAACATTTTAAAATTGTTTCCCACTTAGCACAACAAAAACTTTTAACTATGAACTACAAATTTTCGTTTTCGGAACAAAAATAACTTAGTCATATAAATGAATTATTCTAAATTAAATAAGATTATCTCGCGTAAGAGAATATGGCTTTTAAATTGAATATTATGAAATCATACAGCCTGTATTCCTAGGCAAAATATTCTTCATAAAAGCTTTAATTAAAGCAACTGAAAAACTTTTTAAGAAATCTGTAGGTTTTTTTTTTTAAAAAGCAAAGTCCTAAAAACCTTTAAAGTGTGTAATGATTTTTAAGTGAAAAAACGAAATAATAAAAGTTAACAAAAAAACGAAGGAAAAGATAATGAGAAAATATATCATTTAACAGTAAAAATTTATGTTAAGCTCTTTGTATTACCTTTCACCTAACAGGATTTTAAAAATAAAAAAATAAATGAAGCGTTGGGTTTTAAAAAATAAATAGGCAAATTTCTGTTCGTTTTCAATTTATAATAATTCATTCAATTATTTCAGCTATAGTTCTCAATATTTCAATTGATGAAAGTGAATATATACATCTTTACCATCCTCCAGAAGGTTTGATATCCTTCCACAATCCGTACCACATTGTCAATCCTCACGTGAAAGGCTTTACTTTATCTATGAAAACACAACGACATACTTTTCATTTAAAGAAGGTAACTATATTTTTACTTTAAAACTCGTACTTTTACGCCATTAACTAAATAAATATATATATTCTACACTCTGGGAAAAAATAAGCAATCTTTTAATTGGTATTTATACTACGATATAGTGCAATAAAAAGAACTAAGCTTATAAATGAAATAAAATAAACTTAGTTTAAGAAATTTTTTTAGCAATTATTTTAAATAACAATCAAAATGAATCGATTCAAATTACATGCTTTTTGCTATGTTTTCAGCCATAATGTGCTCAAAAATACTGATTTACCAAATAGCTGGAAAATGAATGTTTCATAAATTTTTACCTGACTCGGTTGTTGTATGAATTTGGAACTATAAAATTAAAGGTGGAACGTTTAGACATCTCACGAATCAGTTAGAATTTGTCACAATTTATTGGAATCGGACATGAACTTAGAATATTGAATTATACCTCGAAAACATTGAAACACGATACACATACACTATTTATTATTCATAATATATCTATTATTCAGCTCAATGAATAATTAATTAGGATGCGCAAAGCGCCATCTATGAACTGTAGAATTAAACAAATACTAATTTTCTTGTGTAATTTATTGTCGGTGTCTCAAACGTTTGAAAGATTCAAAATTTATTGATAAATATTATTCAACGTATTTCTTGAAAAATTTGAAAAATCTCAAAGACTCTAAATGTCGTTTCCATTTTTGTAGGTTTTGCCATAACCAAACTAAGACTTGATTACCTCTTGAGGGAAAATAATAAAGATCGCAGAGAAGAAAAAATCGAGGTATTTTTCCCAATCAAAACGGAAAAAGTCCACTGGGTCGTGACACTCTAGCGAAGTGTTTTACGAAAATCACTACAAGAGCGAAACTGAACCTAATTTGTTGAAGCTACAACAACAGGGAGTGCCCAAGAGCACTGAGTTGTTATCGATGATGAAATCTGTTACAATTATTACGAGACCGGGCATCATGCAATGACTTTCAGAGAGGAGATCAAGTGTGTTAACTGCCATTAAGCAAACAAGAAGTTTGGATCACGCTAGAAAAATAACCATAGTGCCTTGTAGAGGTCCTTTCTGTATTACAAAGAGCAATAGAAAGAATTAAAATAAAAACATATTAGAACTAGACTATTTCTGGAATCAAACTGTGATTATAAGCCAATATTGGCATCCTCCAATATGATGCCCAATAAAACAATTCTTTTAAATTTTTTTAATTATTTTAAAATTAGTTTGTAATTGTTTTTAATAAAGCTGGTTAAATGCCTTCCACCCGGAGGGTTACTTAACTGGTGGCTGTTACTCTGCAGTTGGCCCGGGTTGGGTCATCAGCTGCAGACGGATTGGTAATGCTGCCCTGTAGCCCTGGAATCAGTGTTTGGTGTGGGCAGTTTTCCTAAGCTCATGGACGAGATTGTGGTGCTTTCCTCCTGCGTGACTCGGAGTCCTGCGTCTTGGGTCCCCGTATTGTATGTTTAGTTCGGTCTCGGCATTGTTCACTCACGACGACTCATGCTATACTGGCGAATGAGGCTCTTGGGTCTGGAGCGACAACTATTTAATCTTAAATTCTTGAATTGCTATATTTTGGAACATTTCAGTCATTTTTACATTATATTTTGGAACATTTCAGTCATTTTTACATTGCATTTTGTGATTCAATTCAAAAGATTGTGTTAACACATGCTCTAAAATGTTTCACAAATTTTTGTACAAGTAGCGAGAGACAAAGGTGGAGCGAGAGATAGAAATCTTAATCCCATTTATCTATTTATTGAATTTAAAATGGTTTTATTTTTCTTAATCAAATAACTTATTCTATTAACAGGTGGTGAGGAAGCTTCTTCCATATCCTTATGACACAAATTGCATTGATTACTTATCTAGGTGGAAAGAAAGAGGAGGCAAGGGTCCGATAAATAATGAAGTAAGAAGGAGTTTTTCTCTTCTCGTCTTGCCATATATACCCGGGTTGCTATTTATATTTCTGGCCTAATAATGAGAAAACAAATATGTAGGATCGAAATTGGTTTTATTTTTTTTCCAAAATATTCTCCATGATGATCAATACACTTTTGCATGCGTTTGAACCAATTTTCAAAGCACTTTTTCCAGTCCGATTGAGGTAACTCCAAAACATGCGTTTTGAATGCATCAACCGCTTCTTCGGGGATCGAAAATCGTTGTCCACGTAATTCATTTTTGATGTGTGGGAATAAGAAGAAGTCATTGGGTATTAAATCAGGGCTGTACGGCGGATGACCCATCAGTTCGATCTTNTTCCCACAGATGTGTCAATTCAATTTAAGCGCATTCAGTTTACCATATGGTTGGCATTTTCAATGACTATTAATAAATCTCAAGACCAAACAATATCTGTTTGTGGCTTAGATTTGAGCACACCATGTTTTTTCACACGAACATGTTTTTCACAGTATAAGTGGCATGCTCTCGAGTGGGCAAACCATCCAGTTTATTTGTGTTAGCTAAAGATGGAATGACAAAAAATATTATACACTCCATTGCACTAAGAGATTAATATTCTTGACCAATATTTTTAGAATTCGTTGCATATATAACTTACAAAAAAAGTTACAATAAATTAAAAAAATAATTATTTGGTGTGTTGTTATTTTCACATTCTGTCATCGTTCACAGCGCTCCATGCTTCCTCCACTCATATACCAAATACGCACACACTTACAATAACATATATTTTCATACTCTAGAAATAATTCATTGGCAAAACAACGTTTGCCTGGTCAGCTAGTATATATATATATGTGTATTCACATATTTATTTTTTACTTTTTATTTGTTATTTTACTTGGAAATATTTCCAACACAGTAATGTTTGTCGCATTTTCTTTGAGTTAATAATCTCATTAGTTATTTTAAATAATTCTTTAGAGCAGTTATTGAAGATAAAATGAAAACTTTATTATTAAAGCAATATAAAATATAGAAAAATGACACGCGTGATTAAAAAAAGCGAAAATCATTGATCTATGCTCAAAATATTTGCTATATTTTACTTGTTTGTCAAGAATATGGAATCATGCAATTTATAGTTTTTTTTTTATCTCCAATGCCCACCTGGAGAATGACCTAAGTTATACAGGCATCTGAAGGGCAGATTTGTTGACCACTCTTTCAGGGGCACCATATTAGGTGGGTCAACGTTGCTCCCACAGTAAACTTTATTAATGTTGGTGGAGTCAGTGATTTCTTTTGCAATCTCATCTCGACGAAGGAAAGATGATTTGGATGATAAGGTCGTCTAGAGAAGCCAACAAAATGATCGTCATTTCCATAGACAGGATAGATCAAGTAAAGTGAAATATCTTCGTTGTCCATTGTTGACAAATAATTAAACCGTCATTATCGGAGGCCCAGCAAAATTTGTCGATATACAATTCAATTAAATTTTAAAAAAAAGGCAAGTGTGGGGAAAGTTACGCCTCTCTATGAGATCAGATCGACGAATCTATACAGGAACTAACTTAAATTCCAGATAATCGTCGGAAGCATGTCATTCATGCAGTAAGTTGTTGTCATTCATTAACAGGAATCTAGAGTCATTTTTGAGAATAAGAATCGAATAGAGCTCTAAAATCTCAAAACAATAAGGGAACCTATTACATTAAACACACGCTCCTGTGAGGGGCCGTTCATCGAATTAACTGCAAAACCGTGGCACTTCCTCCACTATAATATTCATTTTCCTAAGTACCCGAGAAATGCTGTATACATCAAATCTGGATGAGTCAATTTTTAAGAAAAAAATCAATAAACGAAAAATTTAATCATTTTTAATTATTTCACGTAAACTTTTTGTAATATTTGATTGTGTATATATATTGGAATGCATTATTATATATATATTAGCATATTAAAAGCAATATGTTATAAGCATTTAATTTCAAATTTAAACGATTTTACTTATTCTTTACAGCTTTTCGTACTTCAGGAAGTCAAGTGTTCCCACTCATAACATTTATGGTTTCTTGAGTGGCTGTTATACTTTGAATACTGTTTTTGGAAGACCAAATGCAAAGCCAAGTGTAGTGACTTCAAGCGGAAGTAAATTATAAATTTTTATTCCCTCGTATCTTGAAACTTTGCTTACCAAACATTTTAAAATTGTTTCCCACTTAGCACAACAAAAGCTTTTAACTATGAACTACAAATTTTCGTTTTCAGAACAAAAATAACTTAGTCATAAAAATGAGTTATTCTGAATTAAATAAGATTATCTCGCGTTAGAGAATAGGTCTTTTAAATTGAATTTTATGAAATCTTACAGCCTGCATTCCCAGCCAAAATATTCTTCTAAAAGCTTTAAGTAAAGCAATTGAAAAACTTTTTAAGAAATCTGTAGGTTTCTTTTTTAAAAAAACAAAGCCTTCAAAACCTTTAAAGTGTGTAATGATTTTTAATTAAAAAAACGAAATAATAAAAGTTAACAAAAAATCGAAGGAAAAGATAAAGAGAAAAGATATCATTTAACAGTAAAAATTTATTTTAAACTCTTTGTATTGTCTTTGGGGAGTCAGTACCCACCCAACCTTCAAAAAATCGATTTTGAGATTTTTACATTTTTAAAATCTCCTATTCAAGAGCTTTCCAATGATGTATAATTTTATGTATTTACTCAAATTTAAAGCTGTTAAATTTCAATTTCAAAATGTAAACAAACGCTCCTCTAGCTGTGCAACACCCACATTTGACAAATGAAAACGTAAACACAAGATTCAAAGCTTTGACGATTACGAGAATCTTTTTATTATTTTATAATCTAAGCAAGCTAAAAGTTGAAATTCTTATTTAACTTATCTTGATCTTTACAGGCAATTTTATAGTTTTTAATTAGATTTATTTTGTTTTTTGTTAGATTAGCTCTGTTTTTTATTAGGTTTATTTTGTTTTTCGTCTAATTTGCTTGGTTTTTTGTTAAATTCGTTTTGCTATTGGAGTGAATTTTTTTCAAGCTTTTTTGTTGAGGTGTACCCGAGTTTGGCATTTTAACATTATCGGATACAGGTAGTAAGATTTCAAATTTTTTTATAGTAAAATATTTTTATTATTTGTAATTTTTAGATACAGCATTTTTAAAGAAATATATAAAATTTACTTTCAAGAATTTAAGCAACTTAAATGTGAATTTATTTATAATTGGGCATATTTAACAGTGTATTTTTCAAATGTTTTGCAAATTATGACTCATGAAATTGATGTGTTTATCTTACTCGGTAGTTAATAAATAAAAGATTAATAATAATAATTTAAAGAATAATTTTGTACTTGAACTTATATTATGCATATTCATGAATTTGCTATAATAGATTATGTCTTATGAGAAATTATTTGTAATGCATAGTGAAAAATTTGAAATTTTAACATTGTCGACTTAATGTGTACTTGATATAATGCAATTTAAGCTTTTTTAGATAAAATTTGGGAAATACATAAAAACAAATGTACTAAAAATAAATAAGTCAATTGTACGAATGAAAAAAATGTGAAAGGTTTGTACTTAGTGCCAGAATTTTTTAGTAATAATTCATTTTAACTTTAAATTGGCTTTTTCTCAAAATGTGTTTTTTTTTAGCTGCGTGTACCTTTTTCTCACAAACTACTAAAGATAAATTCTTGAAATTTCTTCAGCTTATTATTAAGGGCTTAATACATATACTGAGGTGAACTTTTTATCATTATTCATGAAAATAAATGTGTAGCTGTTAAAAACATACTGCAAAATGACATTTTTTCAGTAGTACTCAGCTTTTATTTTTTTTAAAAAAATAACAACGTGTATGGATAATCTTTTCACCTCTGTATAAGTGTGTTCATATAATCACAATAAAAAATTTCAAATCTCTATGTTTGATAGTTTTTCAGAAAAAGGTGCACGAAGTTTGCCATTTTAACATTGTCGGTATAGAGGGTACCGACTCCCCTTCACCTAACTGGAATTAAAAAAAAAAATAAATGAAGCGTTGGGTTTTAAAAAATAAATAGGCAAATTTCTGTTCGTTTTCAATTTATAATAATTCATTCAATTATTTCAGCTATAGTTCTCAATATTTCAATTGATGAAAGTGAATATATACATCTTTACCATCCTCCAGAAGGTTTGATATCCTTCCACAATCCGTACCACATTGTCAATCCTCACGTGAAAGGCTTTACTTTATCTATGAAAACAAAACGACATACTTTTCATTTAAAGAAGGTAACTGTATTTAAACTTTAAAACTCATACTTTTATGACATTAACCAGATAAATATATATACTCTACACTCTGGGAAAAAATAAGCAATCTTTTAATTGGTATTTATTTAGACTAAGATATAGTGCAATAAAATGAACTAAGCTTATAAATGAAATAAAATAAAATAAGTTTACTAATTTTTTTTTACAATTATTTCAAATAACAATCAAAATGAATCGAACCAAATTACATGCTTTTTGCTATATTTTCAGCCATAATGTGCTCAAAAATACTCATTTTCGTTTACAATTTATTGTCGGAGTCTCAAACGTTTAAAAGATTTAAAATTTATTGATAAATATTATTCAATGTATTTCTTGAAAAATTTAAAAAATCTCAAAAACTCTAAATGTCGTTTCCATTTTTGTAGGCTTTGCCGTAACCAAACTAAGAGTTGATTACTTCTTGAGGGAAAGTAATAAAGATCTCAGAGAAGAAAAATTCGATGTATTTTTCCCAATCAAAACGGAAAAAGTCCACTGGGTCGTGACACTCTAGCGAAGTGTTTTACTAAAATCACTACAAGAGCAAAACTAAACCTAATCTGTTGAAGCTACAACAACAGGGCGTGCCCAAGAGCACTGAGTTGTTATCGATGATGAAATCTGTTACAATTGTTACGAGACCGGACATCATGCAATGACTTTAAGAGACAAGATCAAGTGTGTTAACTGCCATTAAGCAAACAAGAAGTTTGGATGACGCTGGAAAATTAAACATAATGCCTTGAAGAGGTCCTGTCTGTATTACAAAGAGCAATAGAAGGAATTAAAATAAAAGCATATTAGAACTAGACTATTTCTGGAATGTAACTGTGATTATAAGCCAATATTGGCATTCTCCAATATGATGCCCCATCAAAAAATTTTTTTAATTCTTTTAATTGTTTTAAAATTAGTTTGTAATTATTTTTAACAAACCTGGTTAAATGCCTTCTACCCGGAGGGCTACTTGACTGGTGGCTGTTACTCTGCAGTTAGCCCGGGTTGGGTCATCAGCTGCAGACGGATTGGTAATGCTGCCCTGGAATCAGTGTTTGGTGTGGGCTGTTTTCCTAAGCTCGTGGACGAGATTGTGGTGCTTTCCTCCTGTGTGACTTGGAGCCCTGTGTCTTGGGTCCCCTTATTCTATGTTTAGTTCGGTCTCGGCATCATTCACTCGCGACGACTCATGCTATTCTGTTGAACGAGCATCTTGGGTCTGGAGCGTCAACTTATTGAAATGAATCTTAATCAACAATTGAATCTTAAATTCTTAACTTGCTATATTTCGGAACATTTCAGCCATTCTTACATATTATTTTGTGATTTAATTCAAAAGATTGTGTTAACACATGCTTTAAAATGTTTCACAAATTTTTGTACAAATAGCGAGAGACAGAGGTGGAGCGAGAGATGTAAATTTCAATCCCATTTATCTATTTATTGAATTTAAAAGGGTTTTATTTTTCTTGATCAAATAACTTATTCTATTTACAGGTGGTGAGGAAGCTTCTTCCATATCCTTATGACACACATTGCACTGATTACTTATCTAGGTGGAAAGAAAGAGGAGGCAAGGGTCCGATAAATAATGAAGTAAGATGGAGTTTTTCTCTTCTCGTCTTGCCATATATAGTACAGTGGAAGAAAAAAACAACGCTATAGTGATTAGCGTAATTTTCAAAGCGCTATTTATACGCTATAGTTATTTTTGAAAGGATATATAGTGCAGAAAAAATTCCTTACATAAAAGGAGGAAAGTTGAATTAAGAATACTCAAAATAGGTTGATAAATACTCAAAAAAATTTAGAACTATTTAAAATTAATTACGAAATTTTTGATTTAAAATTTTTAAAAACAAATTGTTGAAAACTATACGATATATGAGTCATTAAAATAGTTCTTTTATACAGCTCGTAAGCGAAAAAAAATTTAAATCGAATTTCATAATTTTTTTAGAGGGAATCGTCTAAATCTAAATTTACTTTCAATTGATTGAGAAAGAGAGTCTTCTTTGTTTTGACAAAAACTCATTTATCATACTACTTATTTTAAAGTTAATGTAATCAACAATCAGAATTTTTTCTTGATTCACCATGAATCTAAAACCTTTTTCAATTATCGAAATAAATTTAAAAGAGGTAGTTTGCATATGAAATAACCGAAGTGGTAATCCCTCTTCCGTCACGAAATAATTATTTTTTATGTGTTACATGTAATAAAAATAACTGTGCTATTAAGAAACTAGAGATAGGGCAAATATACAGATTTGCCGCCTTCACTTTTATGAAACTAATAAGAAAATCTGTTAAATATGCTTACACGAGGAAATCTTACTAGTCATTCTGAAGGAAACTTCTCGTGAATCTGATTACAATGTGAGAACAGGAATCTAAGAATAAAAATATCTTTAATAAATGATATAAAATACTGGGAATCTGTAAATAGAGTTTACTGGCCATTGGGGCGAGCGGTCTGACTTTAAAGCCAGTAGCTGCGGGTTCAAATCCCGCTCAGGGCATAGATGTTTCTCTCTCGCGTGTGCTGTTCTTTGTTGTATGCTGGATGAATGTTGATCATCCTATGAACGGGTATCTGTGGCAGTATGGCGTTGGTAATGTAGCTCTCCTCCGTAACTTAGGTTCACAGGTGCCCACTGGGTAACGTTAAATGAGCAATATGCGCGAGGTTAAAAAAAGAATCTCGTAAAAGATATTTATCTTGATACTGTTCCCTTTTTTATTACTATTGATCTATAATTATTGTGAAATTATAATATATTTGTATTTTTAAATATTTCCTATGAGCATTGTACTTTTAATTAAATAACAATTCTGCATTTTCAATTTTGAATCAAAAATTGAACTTGATGAAAAATTTTATCAAATTTTATTCTAACAGCAGAAGAAAAATAGATTGCATAAAGTGATAAATATTTTATGAATTACCAAAATGGTATTAATTCCGAATTCCAATTAAATAAAAACTAAAAACAGGATAAGAACAGAAAAATTCAAAATACTATTTAGTTTTTTTAAGTATAATATTTTTCACTTTTCGTTTAAAATGATATATTTATAATAAAATGTATCGAGCATCTGAAGATACAGATTTCAATGAATGAATCTTGCAAATGTAAACCTTTATAAGTCTGTCAACTTTGATAATAAAAAGCAATTTAAATAACAACAAGTATAGACTGTATGAACAATAGATTATTTCGAAAATATCTTTCATAAAAGAAGTATTGAATGATATGAATTTAAATATCCACAAATATCTTGTACCAAAATAATACATAAAAACCAAACAGAAGCATGGATATAAGTCCATTATATTAAAATAAAAAGTTAAAATTTTAATATGAGATCTAGAATATTTCTAAACATTTTTGCAGATATAATATATCCCCACATGCTTTGACAAAGATTCTAACATAGAATCAGATTTTTTCCATAATCATCCACTTTTAACACTTTTAAATTTTATTAAATTTCTCTTGAAAAATAATTTTAATGAATAGTATTTTATTTAAAAACGCTGCAAAACATCTATTTTAAATTGAAAGTATATATAATGCATTCTAAATAATAATATTTTAAAAACAGTATTTTAAAAATAAGAACAACAAGGTATATTTACTTATCAAAAAGTAAAACAGCTTCAGAAATACCCCTATAAATTTTACTTTCACTTCTTCTTGATTCAAAATATTGTTAGACATATCTGGAAGAAAAAATTTAGCGAAAATTAAAAGCACGAACACTACTTATTTAGATCGTAAAACATAACAATTTCATTTAGATATATTGTCGTTTGCTTTTTAAAATAAAACATTGCAAATTCCAACTTATAGCCCACATATAATTAAATAATAAATAGCTCACTCATGCTTCAGTGAAAAGAACTCGAGCATCGCTTAAATATTTACCAATCAAGTTTGCTTTAACGCAAGCAAGTATTTCACTCAAATATAGATATATTCAACTGAAGTTCAGTTAAAAAAATTTACTCTTTTTTGAGTAGATGGGAATTTACTCATTCATTTTAATAAGTAAATATATATACAGTTGGCTCGCGTTATAACGACCCCATCGGGACTGTCCCAATCTGGTCGTTATATCAAATGGTCGCTATATCAAAATGAGCAAATTTCCTTTGAAAATCGGTCACATAATGGTTTTAAACGTCATAATGCATGCATATACTATTTGTGGTATACATTTATAAAACATAATGACAGCTTAACAATTGACTTACAACTGTTAACAATTAAGAATTTTATTTTAAATTAGATTAAAAAACATAGTATGACAAAAAAAATCTAATTTCTAATGAATAAATTTTTTGATGTACATAATTTGTGGTATATAGTATAACGAATTTTTTTTTATGTACGTAACCTGCAGTATTATAAAGAAGAGTAAACCGAGGAACATAAACGAGGCTTCATTAGACGAAGACATTAATTTTTTGATGTGCATTAATTTGTTGAAGTTACATGTTTTAAGTTTTTGTAAAATAATTGGAAATTGAAGTTTGTCGTAATTTTGAGCTCCGGAAAAGCGCTATTTCCAAACTGTTAATTTTCTCCAAATGGTCCTCTGAATTTAGGTCAAACTCAAAAAAATCCCTTAGTGTGTTTATTGCTTCTGCAGCTTGTTTAATTGAAGGCCTTTCCTTCGGCAAAACACTAATTTCCTCGTCGGATGAAGCCTCGTCCATATCTTTATTTAACAATCCGTTTAAAATCTCCTTCTCTGTTAACTCCTCTGTACATTGTACATCATCGTCGACTTTTGCATATTCGTCAAAGTTGTTCATGGCATCACTCAAATTTACATACGAGGAAAATTCCTTCAGTATTTCATCGTCTAGGTCAAGGTCATCTAAGTGATCCATGTCCACGCCACACGGATTTTCCTTTTTACAAAATCCTGCTGATCGGAAAGAGTTCTTGATGGTATTTACTGAAACTTCTTTCCAAGCAGTTTCTACA